CATGAAAGTAGTTGTTGTCTTCCTTAAAATACACTTTCTCTGTTGGCGATGGAAATAGCCGGAGAGTTGTAAGGAGAGGAGCCTGAAAGGGTTCTAGGGGGTGAAAATTACTTTGGTTTTGTGAAAATGTAATTGTGTTCATGATATCAAATGGGCATGAAAGTAGTTGTTGTCTTCCTTAAAATACACTTTCTCTGTTGGCGATGGAAATAGCTGGAGAGTTGTCAGGAGAGGAGCCTAGAAGGGTTGTAAGGAATGAAATGTGCTGTACGTTTGGTTGTGTGAATATGTAGTTTCGATCAAACTGTACTTATGATCAATGTTCAATTTAGTGCAGGCTTGTTAATGCTTTGTCTTGTTTGATTCCACTTTTTATATAAAAATTTAATACTGGAAAATAGTATTACGTACTTGGTAGTGTTATCAGACCCGAGCTGGCCCAGGCTCATCAGCCTGGAAACCGGCGATCCACATTGAATATAGAGCTGGTTTTGTGGTTTAGGAAAAGCCTGCAAATCATGTGAAACCTGAAGCCCTGCTTGAAACTTGACACCAAACACTGTCCAGAACTTGCCTGCAAGGCTGCAACAAAAAAAATTGCCCAAATCTCGGTCTAGTACTTGCTACCTAGACCTCCTTGCCCACACAGGTCAACCCACAAACCGGCATGCCGTTTGGAATATTGGGCCGATTAGGAACAGATCTGCAAACCACGTGAAACCCACCACAACTCGAAGACCTCCTTGCCCAATTTGGTTTCTAAAAAATTCCATAGGCCATGGGATTGAACTAGTCATGACCCTGGTCGGTTCAGTCCTGGTTCCGGGTGACCTCCCAGTCCTTTCAATTTTTGGTTGAAGCCCAGGTTCAGCTCGGTTATTTGCGGTTGTGGACCAGTTTTGGGTGCCCGGTCAGTTTGGTCCCCTGTTCCTGACCCGGTTCAATGTTTTTTTTAAATCTGCCCGCTTTCAGGCTGAAAAAAAGAAGCAAAAATTGCCCATTGGGACTGAAACCGAGATTGGGCACCCCTATTGGGCGGACAATGCCAGTAGTCCTAGGTCCGAAATCAGGAAAAGAAAACGACCTGGTCCCAAGCAGTGCCAAACCCAATTCCGGACCAGGTGACCAGGTCCATGCCTAGATAGATTGGACCTTGGTCTAGCATGAGATTTACCGGACGTGATACACCTCACTGCTCAAGCATGCTCTTAATTTAAATTCTTTATCAGTGATATTGTACCACAATCATATCTTTCAATTCAATATTTTAAGTTGGGAAAACTGTCAAATAAGTCCACATACTTTTAACAAAAAGTCAATTGAGTTCATGTACTTTTTGTTGAGTCAATCAAGTCTATGTACTATCAAAAAATGACCAAATCAGCAATTTAAAAGGTTGTCAACCGGTTATCCGGTTGACTGCCTATGTGGACATTAATGTGGCATTTTTACTATTTTCTATTTCGTTTTTCTTTTTCTCTCTTCCTTTCTTTCTCTTTTTTCTCTTTCTTCTTGGTCCGCTTATCCTCTGCGTTTGCACTCCATCTCTTCCCACCTTGCAATTACAGATCTATGGAGAAGGTCTGGTGGTTGGAGATCGTTGAAAGAGGCGGAGTAGAGACCATGGAGGCGGAAGCCGGAGGCTGTGGGTCCGGTGGTAAGGGCGACGGCCATGGAAGCCGGCGCGGCTGGAGGTCGATTCAAGGGGAAGCTTGAGGAGGGGAAGGCCGAAGGAGGGGAAGGGGAAGGCCGCACAGGTGGTGGCCGGAGACGGTGTATGGCCGAAGGGGCTATGGAGGCTGAGAGGCGGAGGTGGTGGCTAGAGAGTCCGAGCGGCGGAATTAGTTCCGGCGGGAGTACTGGAGGAGTGGTTGGGGTTATTGGTGAGGCCAGAAAGAAATGAAGAATGGAAGATCGAGCAGGGACTGCGAAGGAGAAGTGCGGACCAAGAAGAAAGAGGGGAAAAAAGAGAAAGAGGAAAGAGAACAGGGGAAAAAAAGGGAAAAAGAAAGAAAACTAAAAAAAATTGAAAAACAGTAATAAAATGCCACATGGGACATCCACGTCCGTGGTTAACCGAGTAACCGGTTGACTACCGATTAAAAATCTTATTTGGTCGTTTTTTGATAGTTTGTGGACTTGATTGACTCAACAAAAAGTACATGGACTCAATTGACTTTTTGTTAAAAGTATGTGGACTTATTTGACAGTTTTCCCTTTTAAGTTTACTTCAAACTTTTATTGATAAGTATTAAATAATAATCACGGTGCACATAATCTTCCATTTATTATATACTATCCAATTATGTATATGACATTCGTTCAATTTTTTTTTTTTTTTATGTATATGACATTCCAGATATGAGTAAAAATACTTTACGAAATTTCAGTGCAATTAAAAATGGCAAACTATTAATAGATTGGTATTGGAGTATAGACATGCTTTAACAAATACACCGGTATGGTAAATGAAGTAAATATACTTTTAATAAATAGTCCAAGATTATAAAATAGTGAGTTTAATTCTATTAAGGTTAAACAAAATCAAAGAATGTTATTTCAAAAATGCAACAATGTGTTCAAAAATTCGCAGCAAGACTAAAATGAATTTGAAGCGCGTCATTTACGACTGAAAAATAATAATTTTGTAATATAAAATTAAAGAGTTAATGTTTTAACATAAAATCATATATTTATTTTTAACTCTTTGATTTTTTTTTTCAACTTTGAAATTATAATATATTTTTGATTTTTTTATAAAATTATTTTATCTATTGAAGTCAATAAGGGTAAATTTACTCATTTATAGGAACATGAGAGATAATTTTGCACCTTTTAAAATTACATGGGTATATATGCACTTCCACATTAGCTTCAGATATATATTTGTTTCAAAAAATAGAACAGAGATATATTTCTTCCAAAAAAAAATATATTTGTTCTAAACACCCATACTAGATGGACATATTTGTACTATTTCCCTTTTGGATTATCATTTTGTCCTCTAATTTGTGCGATTCTCTGTGCAGCTACCTTAGGGCAACCCTTTTCTTTCCCGCCGCTAGCCTAGCTCTCTTCGTCACTCCTCTTTGCCACAACCGCACTCATCTTCTATTCTCCTCCTCCTCCTCCTCCTCCTCCTCCTCCTCCTCCTTTTACAACTTTTTTACATTGGCTTTATAATTTATCTAACTCGTAACAGAACAACTTTTATTTTGACATCGATTAAGCTAAGACACCAACTTTTTAGTGCATTTGACCTTTATTTTATGTTCAAAACTAACAAAGAGCTTGCGGTGGTGCCCGGAATGGCAGTACGTGACCGCAGCATGGTGTCGGAAAGGTCACTGCGGCATGGGGTCGGAATGTACACCATCGCCTCAAGGGGTGACGGTTGAGCGATGACTGCAGTTTTTCTTCAAGTCTAGTCTAATCAGGGAGCGAAGCCAATCCAAAGTAAAAACATTCTTACAAGTCAAAGTGCTTTCATAATTTCCCCTTCTTGGTTGTGTAAAATACGATAATTGAGTGAATATCGGTAGTTAGTTATCAAATGATATGATTGTGATCAAATGTTCCCGATCTTTCCTCTAGGTGGGTTTAACAAACAACATATCAAATATATCCACGGAAGGCACGGATCGGATGAACTTAAAGAGGGCGACAACCCTCTTGGAATTTCAGTTGGACAAACCGGTCTAGGTTGGAGTATAAACATGTTTTTCCCCCTTTTTGACACAAATAATGCTTTACAGATTTATAGCCGAGACAAACCATCTTATTTCTTAGAATTTGCCCAAATGACAAAAACCAAAATAACAAAGAGCTAAGTAAGAACCTCGTCAGACTTCAACATCGTTCAAATATACTCCGTATTAAAATCTTTAAAAGAATAAAATTAGGCGACAACTCCGGTATCCATTTAAAAAATGGGTACCGTACCTATCATGCATTTGATTGGTCCAAATCTATATCCCTTTAATTTAGATTTAAATAATTCAACTCTATCATTCTTATTGGTCCATGTGGACAAATGTGTGGTACATTAAGGATACAATATAATCTACCATAAAATTATTATCATTATTACTATCTTAAATTTCACTTTCTCTATAAACAAAAACAAATCCCAATTCTTCATGCAATGCCACACTGAAATGGTACACAAATCAAATCCTTAAATAGCAACCTGATTGGGTAAAAACATTCAAAAACTTCATTAAGTGGCAATTGAGAGCATCAATCCTTTGAACCTTCCCCTTTGACTTGTAATACTCAATAACAGGCCGGGAGACTCGACTCCATGTAATCATTAATTAAACCGCTTCCTTATTGTTTCTATATTGTAATCTTCTCTTCACATACATGTTTAATAAGCGGCTCTGCATATCTTAACTTACATGCTTTAATACTCCAAGACCGATGTATTAATACTTGGAATTTCAGTTATATTTACTTAAATCACCAGTCCTATGTTTTATAGGAATAAAAATTGTCTAACTGGACAAAAATACACTTAATGAACTTCAGGTCCAAGCTAGTTTTCGCTTGAACAAAACCGGTCTTGGAGTATAGACATGCTTTCATAACTGAAATTCCAAGTATTAACATAACTGTCTTGGAGTATAGACATGCTTTAATTACTCTAATTCTGAAGTATCGATGGACCAGTGTTGGAGTATAGACAAGCTTTAATAAATACATCGACTGGTGAATTAATTAACTAAATGTATTTTATGAAGCACCTCTTATTATATACAAGTACACTACTTGGTATGGTATATAATATTGGTATATTGTTGTGATAAACAACGGTTAGTCGCTGACTAAATACTAACTATGGAACAATCTTCTGAAATTAAAGTTTTAATTTACTGAAGGATTGGAGCGAGCTGAACCTTTTATAATTAATAGAGCAAAGGCTGCCTACGTACCCGGATTCTGCTTTTTTCAGCTTGTAGAACCCGGGATCAAGCCACACGTAGTTCTAATTAATTATACATACCTGAATCACATGCACAAATTAAACTAGCTAAACCTAGCTAGCTACTTTTCCATGTGATAAAAATGATAAGAACCTATATCCTATTCAATTCTACATCATCGATCAGTTCATACATTTTAAGAATAAGGTTCCATTTCCTTCATCCTATGATTAGCTAGCGGATCCATGTTGGATTATATTGGACCAGCTTCCTCCTCTTCATTTTTGAAAGCAACCTCTGTTTGACCCCACATGTTGGAGCCTGGACCACCTTGCTGTTGAGCCTCCCATTCCCAGAGAAGGATTTTCTCTTGCATCCCACGGTTACACCGCCGTGAACATCACGGCCGCCGCCACATCTCGGAGAAGGAGAACGATCATCAACCGGAGCACCCTTCTTGAGGATTTTGATCTCGGTCTTGTTGACAGGCAAGGGGGAAACATGGGTGGTGATCTTGGAACCCAACCCACCGTCTTCATCGTCGTCGTCGTCGAACAATTCATCGTCGGAGAAGAGCAGATCCGAGCCGCCCGGGTTGTCATCGAAGAGCAGTTTCACGATACGGCTGCGATGTTTCTTGAGGCGTTCCGGCACGACCAAGGAGGCCACCAGAACGGCTTCTTCTACCAGGGCCACCATGTCTGTCTCCTTCTTCAGGTTGTACTTGCTCCGGAGTATTGCTGCAATATCCATATTCGATCGAGAAACACCAGGAATGGAATTAATTGAAGGAGATCGATAATTCTATTGAATATATTTTTCGTGCTCTTAGGGTTGCAGGAGATACTACTACGTACACGCTCATAGTGTGAAATATTTATATATATACGTAGTAGTACGTCGTAGTTTGTTACGCCGCCTTAGCTTGCAAGACAAGTATTGCAATCATTTGTAATAACGAGTAATTAAAGTGAATGAGACGGAGTATACATATATGTTTTTATTGTATTTCAAATTATTTTGTTTCTTTGTCCACCCTCATGTTTTTAATTGGACGGTTTTAAACCAAACGAAACCATACTTAAAATGATCGGATCAGATTAGACTTAAATAGATCAGATCAAACTTAAACAGATCAAACCAGACTTGACTTCCGTAATTATAAAATACTTAGCAGACCATACCAAACTTAAATAGACCAGACCACACCAGCAATTACAGTTCAAGTAAAAACATCCTTATTTACAAACCGTATTGGTTTCAATATTACTACCTTCGTAACGGAAATATCTTTCCACCTTCCTTTTTCATTCGTAACGAAAAGATCTTCTCATTTCTAAATTTTCTCATCATACCCTTAATAATTTTGAAAATAATACACTATTACAATTATTCTTTTTGGATTTATCCTTCATTCCATCACATTAGTTCACTACACCCTCATTATACCCTCAATAATTTATATCCTCTTTCACTATTCAAAATCTACATACTTTTGAAATGTGAACATATCAACGTTATACTACGTAGGTTATTTTTAAATTACTAAAAAAACAGGGTCGTTTGTAGTTTAAAAAATCAAGGTCTTTTATATATACGGAGTATTAAGAAAACTACTTCATATTTTATTACTTTCGTGTAGTAGTATATTGGAATTGGAAGAGAATAATTCAAATATCTCAACTTTGAAAATGTAACGTATGTACCCCAAATTTACACATAATATATACGATGTATATCTCAAAAACTTATATAAAAAGTTATGTAAGCATGATCATATACTTTTTTCTCAAATGTAAATTTATGATGTTAAGTACTTAAGTTTTTTTTTATCATCAAATCCAACTAATATATTAAATCAAAATAATGTTCGTCACATGGCTGATGAATATACAATCAAAGAAAATATCACCTCTGTAGAAACAATAGTATTCGCTGATCCTGTAATGGGCTTAACTGATCAATGACTAGCAAACCAGACTTCTCATCACCTAACTTAAAATCTAGAATCTCTCTCCTAGGAAATAAGAACACGTCCAAAACAACATGGAATTAGAAAGAAAAACACAAATAGAATAATTAAAACGGAATTAAAATAGAGTTCACCCATTTCTTTCAAACCCTAACCTTGCTTGCACTCCATGGCGGTGGCTTAGGAGGGGGACGCGCCCGCCGCTCATCCGCCTCAATAGTCATGCCTTTGTATTGAATGACGATATCCTCTTTTGACATCACTTGCTGCTGAATTGAAACCATACTCTGGCTTGAAACCATACTTAAGCAAATTGCAATTTCGGCTTCTTCAACAACCATGATAGGACTGCAAACGAGCTCGAAACACTGGTGCTTCCAAGCCGGGAAAAACAGAAAGAAACAAACACCGGCGCTGTGATCAAATTGATCACCACCGGACAATCCAAGCTAGGCGTGTTGCCTTGTGGCAACCCAGAGAGAGCAAAGAAAACGTCCGAAGACGGCTGCAAAAGAAACGTCCGAAGACGGCAACCCTAGAAAGAAGTTGCGGAACGGCCAAAAAATTAGTGTTATGGCTACTTTTTAAGGCATGATAAGTACTTAATTTAAAACACATAACTTTAAAAAAAAGTACATAAAAATTTATGAGGACGCAATTAAAATTAAATTGTACCGGATGTAATATTATTTAGTTTACAAAATAGTTTTAGAGTGTTAACTTCATCCTAACAAAGCTTAGAATATTTTAAATTATGTAATAATTACAATCAATTATATTTGTAAAAAACATCCAATTGTGGTGGCGTGGTGCGAAAATAACCCTTTATATAAAGTTCTGTGTGTGTGTTACTTATGCAAATTTGGACCTCATCAAAATTTGAGATATTTATACTACCTCCGTCCCAAAAAATTCTTCTCACTTACTATTTGGGATGTCCCAAAAATTTCTTCCCATTTCCTGTTTTTGAAATGTTTGTGTAGCTATCATTTATTTACGTTTTTCTTACTCAACCACAATCATACATATTCACTTTATTCCCACTTTTTTAAACTTCAATCCAAGTCAAACCGGGAAGAAATTTCCGGGACAGAGGGAGTACTATTTTTCCCTAGCATATTCTATACATTCCCAATTTTCATGATTGATGCTTTACTTTTAGATGAAAGATGGCTTTAAACACCACTTTTGAGTAATATTGGACTTTACATCATATTTTTCAAAAATGAACGGTGCACTTCATCTACTACTCCTTCCGTCCCAAAATGATGGTCTTGTATTTCCTTTTTGGGATGTCCCAAAATGATGAAGTGCACCGTTCATTTTGGGACTATTAAACGACTCGGTTCGGGCCGGGGCCGGTTCGGGCCTTGAACCGGCCGGGCCTCGGTTCACGGTTTGGGAGGCCCGGAACCGGGCCGGGCCACCCGCCCGGTTCACGGGCCAGTCCTTTTTTTTATATATATTCTATACTATATTATTATAATAATTGTTATTAAAAACAAAATTCAAGTGCATTTATTTGAAATAGGAAGTACATTTGAGAATTGAGGAAAAAATAACAATATGAAATACATTTTCGAATAAATATCAATTGGGATTTCCGCCACCGTTGGTTGTTGTTTTACCTTTGTCACATGACTTCATATGTTTCATTGGCATCCCGACTCCGTGTGAACGCCCCAAGCAACACTCTTTCTTGCACCACTTGCAAGTTGCCTACCACAGTCCGGTCTTCGGGTCCTTCCACTTATCAAAGTTGTTTTGCATAACAAAAGAATTACTTTCCATCTTTAAAATGGTAGATGTATAAGTAGCTAGAAATGTATGATAATAAGAGAAGATGAAGATGGAGAAGAGTTGGAGAAGAGGTGTAGAAAATGGTAGAAAATAGATGTATTTATAGATTTTTTTGAACCCCACCCCCACCCCACCACCCCCGGGACCCCCCTGCCCCCCACCCTAAGCCCCAACGGCTATATAGCCGTTTGGGAGCAATCTCCCACTTCAAAATGTTTTAATTTTTTTTTTTGAAAATTATACATATTGTGTATAATTTACTTAGAAAAGTGATTTGATTTAGAAAAGTGTAAGGAAAGTGATATGATTTAGAAAATTATACATATTGTGTAAGGAAAATGTTTTTAATTTTTTAATTAAGTAAAACTATTTTTACTTAGAAAAGTGATTTGATTTATAATTTACAAATGTTACAAAATAGGTGTATAAGTTGTAACTTGTAAGTTTCTAACAAATTAATTAATTTACATATTAATATTACATATTTTAATTTAAAAACAACCTTTAGATTTTACAAAAATAATTTCAAGTTGTAAGTTATAAGTTTGTAAAATTGTAACCAATTAATTAATTTGAGAAGTGCTACATATGAAGTACAAGTTTACAAATGAATTTTATTGAATTGAATTATTGAATTGATGTACACAATAATATAAAATAATTCAAGTATATTTATTTCAAATAAGAAGTACAATTGAGAATTAGGATGCATTTAAAATATGTAATACATTTTGAAATAAAAAATCAATCGGAATCTCCGCCTTCGGTGGTTGTTTCCTCCATAAAGTGGCGGGTGGGAGCGATGGTCATTTCTTGAGTTCTTCGTTTGGCCTTCAACCAATCATGGAAGCAAACTAGCGTCTCAAGAGAGCTCGGGCTCAACCTCGTTCTATAATCGGTTAGGACGTTGCCGGCCGCACTAAATTCTTGTTCCACGGCAACTGTTGATATCGGCATTGCTAGCACTTGCTTAGCCAGTTTTGATAAAACCGGGAACGTTCTTTCATTGTCATCCACCACTTAAGAACGTCAAAATCATCCCCAACTTCATAATCAACATTCAATGTTAGATACAAAGAAAGCTCGTTAACTGAGCTTTGTTCAGTAGCGGGAGTTGCTCTACTTTTTTTCATATAAGAGAACCAAATGCAGATTTTAAAAGTGATTTTCCTTTAGATGAAGAAGATGTTCGCGGCATGGGAGGGGGGGGGGGGGGGGGGTGCATAACCATATTGTGCATGAAATTCATTATGCAATTGATGAAATAAATTACTAACCTCGTTGTATTCTTGTTTAGGGTCGATGGGATTATCATCGAACTCTTGAGTTGGAAAAAAACAATTATAATAGTAATCTATACAAGTTGGCAACGCGGCAAGTCTATAATGAGGATCAAGAATAAATGCAATACCATATATATGCGGAACATGTGAATAATATTTTAAAAACTTTTGTTTCATGAAATCACAAAAATAACTAACGTAAGCGGCATCGGAAAATTCTAAAAATGCGCCGGCGAGATTAACAGCTTCAACAAAAAATTCGTTTGCGGTAGGTTTATAAACATGACTAAAAGTTTGAGTTGCGTTATTAAAATATACCAAAACATTAACAATTTTTTCACAAGTGTCGATGTCAGCCGGGTTTATAATATAGTTACAAGTTTGCCTTAAAAAAGCAGGAAAATGATCTTTATATCTAATAAGTACTTGAATTAAGTTATAAGTACTATTCCAACGAATAGACAAATCTTTAGGAAAAGCACAATAATTGACACGTCTTTCCTTCAAATATTGCCGCCATTGCATTTTTAGTGGAGTGTTAGCCCAAATCAATTTAATTCCCCCCTTCACTACCTCCAAAGCATGTCCTAATGCCGCTAATCCATCTTGTACACACAAATTTAGAATATGACATGCACAACGTTGATGAAAAAACCTACCCATCAATGTATAAGCACCACACAATTCACGCAATCTAGGTATAGCAGCAGTATTATTACTAGCATTATCAAAACCTACAACAAACACCTTATCAAGCAAATTATACTCAATTAAAATACGCTCAATGA